AAGAAATTAATAAGGTGATCAACCTAACTTTGATAACCAGAGAGATGTCTTCAGAGTTTATGTAGATCTTGCATTGCTTTAGCTTGTTGTTTTTTTTAAAGCAGGTTAGAAGTAATTTAATTGGTTTATGACTTCAGTTCATGTAGTTTATTTTTTAAATACTTCCAGATCATTTGTTTCCTCACTTATGACCTATTGATTATATGCTTTGCTAACTATTATGCACACAGCTACAATTATATTAATAAACAGAAGAAAACAACATTCAATATTATAATCTTCTTCACCAAATGGAATGTTATTATCAAAATCGTCAGATAGTGGGTTGTAAAGGAAGTACTTTTTGACAGAGCACACAATTAAACTGTGGAGCTCATTGCCACAGAATGCTGTGAATGCCAGCCATTTAAATGGGCTTAAACAATAAGATGAATTCATGCTAGAAAAGCTCATTAAGGGCTGTTAAGTACATAGATGCAGATGCAACTGGGAAGTTCTTAAGCCATGTATTGCTGGAAACTGGAAGGATGTAGGGAAGAAAAATATAAATCCATCCAATTTACAGCAATACTCTTCCCTGCCCAACCCTGTTCCCCTGTCCTGTGCATTACTGGTGGCTGAAGGCAGGCTACTGAGCTAAATGGACTTTTTGGTCTGATCCTGTATGGTAGTTCTTGTTCTTCTCTGTAATTCACTTGCTGCCTGCTTAAGCAATGGTGCAGTACGATTCATTCTGTTTCCCTTTTCTGTAAATATGATCAGAGGTACTTGCCTTTTTCATCTGCACTGAAGCTTTTGTACCTGTTCTGATACTGTTCCTGCATGCAGGGCTTTCTATCGCCCCCCCCCTCCTTTTAGAGGTAGAACTGCCTGCCTTGTTATTAACAGGCTAAGGCCTAAGTGGTGTTACATCGCTCTCTTTCTACAACATACTAGAATAGTTTGCTCCCTCCATCTTTTTTTGAGAAGCATCCAGTCACTTCTCTCCCATGGAACTGTGACTGTTCTTTGGCATGGTCAAGTGATCAATGATAAATCAGTTGAGTCTGGTGTGCTCCTGGTATTTTACTAATTGAAGTTTCGTCCTCTATCAGTTTTCTGAAGAATTATTTGATTTTTTTTTTAATGACTGCAGATGTCTTGGGATTTCCCCCGCTGTTCTGTTTCTGTCAAAGCTGTGCTGGTCTTAGGATTCTAGGTCTTGATGTGAAGTTAAGAATTTCTTTAGATGCATGTGAAAAATTGTGGGCCTTTGGTATTAAGTCACTGTTTTGGACAGGTAGGAAAGGGATCTTTTCTATGAAACAGATCCTGTTTTTCTTTTATTATTTTTTTTCTTGTTTCTTTTTTTTCCTCTTTTATACCAAACACCACCATAGCAGACTCTTTCCTGTTTGGCATAAGCAGGAAGTGTTTTGCTGCACAGGGATCTGAAATATTAATGCCATCTGAGCATACTCAGCTATTTCAGCTGTTTGCATCCTAAATTTCTTCTGTCCAAGCAGTCTTTTTAATCCTCAGCTAAGGCACAATTTTGAAGTTTCAAATTTAGGTTTAGTTTTGGGAGGCATGTTTGTGTATTAGAGTAGGGAGTTGGTGGAAAGTATGAGGGGAATAACTCAAGTAACTGAAAAGACTCTGTTAAAAACCCAGATTGTTCAAGGAGACAGGAGGCCTGGAAAACCAGCCCAGAAAGAATGTGAACTGTTCCAATACTTGGAATATGTGGGAAATAGACTAATTAGAAATAGACTTGGTGACCTTAGTTAAAACTGGCATCAGTTAACCACAACAAAATTCATCCTATCTTTCTGAAAGCTCTACTACGATATAAGTTATACCAGTGGGCATTTTATACTACACCACTGTTCTCAGACCAGTGATAAAGCAAGTCGCCGCTTGAGCTCCTTTGGTTTGACTAACTTAAGTAGGTTTATCTTCACTGTGCTTGTGTCTAAAATGGGATTATTTCCTTGTCTTACAAACTGAAACATGCCTTGCCTGAGGGAGTTCTAGCCAGGCTGTGTACCTTGCATCTCAGTATGGTGACCTGCCATAATGCTGCCTAATCTCTAGAGCTGCTGTCTTTCCCCTCCCCCCGTCTGTCTCCACCTCACTCCCCCCGAAAATGTCACATTGGTCATCTTGAAGGAAAACTGCATAGG